TTAAACTTTGAGTCATAAAAAATCCCATACATCGTTGCTTTTTTGATAAGCACAAAACAAAAGAAAAGAAGCAAAAAAAAAAGATAAAAAAAAAAAGAAAAAGAAAAGTAACAACTTTCATATGTATCAAGTTGCCAAGACGGCACCGGAAGCCAAAACGTTAAAAAGTGTCTATACTTTCCTTCTGCCTTGTAATACTTGTGCTTGTATGCATATTTCGATAAAGGAGGGGGATGAGAACAAAAATTTAATACAAAAATTTAAAATATAAAAAAAAAAAAAAGGAAACTGCAATGAAAGGGATAGCTCTCTAGTGGCGTGTTTCCCACCTCTTTCTATTCGCGTGTTTGTTCATCCCATATATGGCAAAACAAAAAATAATAATAATAAAACAGCACCAAACCCATCACAGCCACCTGAGACCACTGCAGAAGGATTGTCGTTACGATAGAAAGCGCAGAGAGAGTGGAAAGAAAGGGATAGAGAGGTGGCGCTGCCTAAAAACTGTCGTGCATTCGAGAAATAATGACTCCCTCACGGTAAACAAATCGACAAGAGGTCTCTCTTGAGTAAAGCCCACACGGAGAGTAAACATTTCAATTTTCATGCCTTTCATTGGCATTTCTTTTTTCTACCCCCTTTTTCTTGTGTGTGTGTGTGTGTGTATGTGTGTGTGTGTATTTTATTCTTGTTTCTCAGTTCTACCTTGCCGCTTCCCCATCCATCCATCCATCCATCCATCCATGTTGCTGACTATAGATGGGGGAAAAGAAGTTTACCGTCGCAATGGCTGAGCAACTCCACATACTCCCCCTTCACATCACTTTACTTTCTTTTCTTCTTTTTGTTTTCTTTGGTTTGTGTTTCCCGCCTTGTTTACTTCACACAAGGCCCCTTCTTCGAATTTCCATCTGGAATTTCCTTCCGTTTCATTTCCTCTTGCATACAGTTTCGCTGGTCAGCTCCCGGTTCAACATGTCGCGGATTTTAATCCTTGGCGTCCCGGCATTTCTCTTTATTCACGATATGGGGGGAGTGAAGGAAGCACCAAATTTGCGAGATCGGAGATACGACATGACATTGTTCAGAGCCTCATACCAAGTATCCGCTTTCATGCGCCTTTCGGTGGCCAACTGCAGGATACGCCTACTCGTTTCCACAAGGAGAACGTAGTAGGTCAGCGGGACGCCTTCAGCGTTCCGACGTTCCAGCTCACGAAAAACCACTTGGAGAATCTTCTCTAGTTTAATGGCTCCAGCAAAGGCGCTCTCGTGGGTTTCTTTGTGCGCCCACAGCAAGAGATGACTCTGCGAATCCACCCACACCCACCGTGGGGACACGGATGTGCCATTGCCGTTCCACTTGTAGAACCAGTCACCAGCTGCCAAGATCGACACACTGGTACGAATATCTATCGTGGTCCGAGTACTAGACAAACCAACGACGTCGCTGTTTGGGTCAGTCATACTATTTCGATCTGCCATGGAAATTGGAGCCCCTTGAGGAAGCGGTGAACCAGGCGGTCGCCGGCGCTGTCGCGAAGAAACAAAAGGACTCCCTTCCTCTTTAGCAGCATTTCCCGTGTATATCACCGATCCGGCCGCCTGCCAGTTACGTTCATCTGGAGGGCCAAGAGGGATTTTGGCTGCCTCAGTTGAATGCCGTCGTTGATTAGACCTTTGCTTCACACCCCTTGGGCTATCCATGTAAATTTTCGGTAAGCTGTCATGACGCCCGTAACTTCGGTTCTCCCCATTTCCACCCCTGCAGTTGCTTCTCCTGTCATTGCCTAAACCGCCAGCACGAAGCCCATCCTGGCGTTGAAATAATTGTGCCCCGACATGCCGTGTCGAAAGAGCACGGGGCGACACTGTCCTCCCCCTACGTGAGCTAACTCCTCGCCACCGTAAAGTGGGAGAGTCGGATGAGCCATACGTCAGCAACGGCACGGTTCGAGAAGGAGACCTGGCGGAGGCAAAACCATTGCGACGCCCAAATTCAACATTCTTTTCTACAAAGAAAGAAGAGAAATTCCCCAGCGGGCGCCATCTAAGCTGCAAGTTTTCGTTGCCCCGGAAACGATATCTTCCACAGTTGCTGTTATCACGATCCCCAAAACGTGGCGAGGAGCTGTACTTGAAAGAACCGGTGTCATGTTCAGCGCCGCTGCTATTCACAATGAGTCGTTCCCGCTTGCAATGCTTATTCTCTCTTTTTTCTATACAAACACCGAGCCCCGAATCCGCTTCGGCTCGAGTCGCCCGTGCGACATTTTCACACTGTCCTGCTTCATCCGCTGTGCTGTGGCCCGGCACACCTCGCGGAGTGGGACTCAATTCATACTTTATCAGTGTTGGCGTTTCAACGTTTTTTGTAGTATCCCACTGCTGAGTCTGCGTCGCCGTGGAGGAGCCGCGTCGATTATTGTAGTTGGCGTTTCCTCCACGTCGGCGACGATTCTCCAGAATCCTCTCTAAATGCGCCTCATGGATCGAGTCCATCCGTATCCTCCCACCTTTTCCTATGAAAATTAAAGACAAGAAAAAAAAAAAAAGAAAAAACAGAACGTCAATGAACGTTGTGATGCAAACTGGCGGATTGGGCAAGACGGGATGTGAAGACCATCTGTGTGCATCTCGCACGTATGCGTCCAATTTCCGGTGCGACGCAAAAAAGAAAAAAAGAAGAAAAAAAAACCCCCACCAATGAAGAGAAAAAGGGTCCGATAGAGCCAATTCACTTTTTCTGAGCAAAGGAGGGCAACTCTGCGAGTCCATGGAACAGATCCCATTCTTCTTCCGATTCTTGCATATTCTCCTGTTCCTCTTTGGCGTCACCAGTGGACTTTTTGTCGTGAAAGAGTGTCACTCTATCACCGCGCTGAATCCCCGTGTTTGTCCCTGGAATAGTCCAGTACGACTCCAAAGTTTTAGCCGCGCACGGGGAACGAAACGCATCGGGAACCTGGAACGCATCCACAAGGTTGACGCACTGGGGAGCCAGAACGGTGACAAGGTTATCCAGGTGGGACTCTAAAACATTGGATTTTCCCGGGCTTATCATCTGCTGCGTCAGGATGTAATCCAAACGGTCTTGTTGACGAGCCAGAGCATAAATCCACCCAATGTCTCGAAAAATCTTTCTCGCCCGCGGGTCGGTACACGCTTGTGTCTCGGCCATCATCACCTCCATGGAAAACATCTCCATGTAGGCCTCACCACAATGTAGCACTTGTTGATGACGAAACATCACCCAGTCGTACCACTGATGTTCCGCGCCCCCTTTTCGACGCTCAATCTCCCGTGAATGCCGCAGTCGCTTTTTCGCAGCATAGTGTTTGTGACTAAAAAAAATCAAATGCCTGCCCAGGTCAGCAATTCGGGGAGAATAAAAGGGATTTTTAACAAATCTATCCAACGCCGCAAAAGGCTGCAGCAAACTGCTAAGCCACCAACCCCAATGGCTGGTTCCTATATTCTTTGTGACTGACCTGAACGCAACCTCACGGATCAGCGATGACTGATCTGCTCCTTCTTGACGCAGGTGTGCCATCACAATCGCGTCACTATTGCCCGTGCTCCCCAGTGATGCGTGGACCCCCATAAATTCATCCACAAACCGATGCAGCTCAAGAAGAGTTTCTTGCAAGAAGTGGATGGTCCCGGCCAGCCTCGTCTCATCCTCATAGGTTGGGCGCCTCTCCGTTGACTTCGAGAACACTGAAAGTATACGGCGCCAATCTGCTAAATACACGTAGGATTTCGCAATAATTTTCACAAGTGGTGTTTGTACATGTTGCACACCAAAAAAAGGGTAATCCCTTCTCCCATCCGGTCCCACAACATCTTTTTGTGCAATGAAAAAAACAACATTTGTCAAGAACCTCTTCAGTGCACCAGCGTAGAGTGCAGCGGTTGCCAAACGCATTTGCAACGTTAATGCCTGAAGAGACGTCGAAGTATCCGCGTCCTCCGTTATCAAAACCCCTCCATCCACAATTCGTGATGGAAGTAGAAGGGCAGAAACAGCGATGCGAACGTCATCAAAATGAAGAATTCCCACTCCACTTGCACTCATCGTTGAATTTTCCCCTTGCATG